TTTTAATTTCTAAGTTATCATTCATCTTTTAAGCTTCTTATTTATATAAATTAAGGATTTATTTTCTTTGTTAGGTATTCTATTTCTATCTGAAACCTTTTGAATTATTAAATAAGATTATTATAACAATCATATTTAAAGTAAACTTATTTTTTCTATTATATGACTTTATTTTTTAACCTTTATTTTCTAAATAAAAAAAAATATATATTATAATTTAATTAATATTTATAATTCAATTTAAATTAACTTATTTTCTAATTTTAAACCAATAGGAATTTTAGCTTCTTATTATATTGTAAAAATTTATATCATTATGATTATTATTAACAATCTCAATATAGTTTAATATTTAAAGATAAATACATTAATAATTATTTCTAACCTTTTACAATTAGTATTATCATAAACTCAGTCTTTTAATATTACCAGCATTACATTATTGAATAAGAATGTTATCCTAAATTACTAAAAATTGGTTTGGTTAAATAAAATAAGTTTTGATAGTTTCAGCTATTAATTAAACTAGTTTTAGCACTTAACTAAACTAGTTTTAGTTATTCTAAATTACAGAACTTTAGTTTTGAATAACAACACTATTATTAAATAATTGAAGATTACTTTATTAATCTTTTTAAATAATTCAAGTATTTGAAATATTTAAGATATTGATTTTTTTGTAATTGATTTTCAGGACAAGTCATTTTTTTCATTATTAAATAAGAAAATAAATCAGAAATAATTGTTTTTATATAAAAAAATTATTTTTTTTTATATATAAATCAGATCATATTTTCTTATAATCATAGTAATTTTGATTAAAAATGATATGATTTTGATAGTATAAGTTCTTTATTTAATTTATTTAATTTATAATTTTTTTATATATAATTTTTTTAACTTAATTTTTTAATAAAAATAATCCAAATTTATTAACTTAATTTTTTAATATTATAATTCGAGTTTATTTTAACTTGTTTTTTTTTAATATAAATACTATTTATTTTGATAAATTATTTTATTTTATTCTTATTTTATAATATAAATTTATTTGTTTCTCAATAATAAATTGACAGTTTAATAAATTTGATATAAATTTTATAATATTTATTAACTTTTAATTACAAAATATATAGAAATAATAACATCTCAAAAAAGTCATGATTATACAATTAATTTCAAAAAAAATGCAGAAAAAGCTGAAAGTTATATGTAAATTCATCTATTACAATAATGCATTAATTATTTAGTATTAATATAATGTAAACTATTATAAAAATAAATAGAAAATTAAGATATAATTAATGATGAATAACATAAATCAAATTATACAACAAATAAATGAAGAAATAAATGAAGTAATTAAATGATAAAATTTTAAAGATATGAATATTAGTTTTATTCATTATCTTAAAAATGTATAAAAAATATAAAATATGCAGTAAATCAAAATATTATATTATCTATTGATATATTCAATCATGAGAATTCAAAATTGACAAATAATAAAAAAAATAATAGTAATTTAGAGAAATATTTATAGACTATATAACTTCTTCATTTATACTATTTTAAGAATTGAATAACACATAATAAGAAATAATGTGTGATTTTTGTAGACATTAATTTAAATTATAAGCTTTCATATAAGGTTTAATTTATTAGAAATTATCACAAAAGAGGGGGAGAAAAAGTAATTGAAAATTTATAACTGCAAGGTGAATTTTAGTGAAAAGAACCTGTTACTTCAGAAGATTTCGTCCATATTCCCTCCCAACTCATTTATAAAGTTTAATAAACTCATGCTAGAAGAAATTAGAGATTCTGAATTTGATCATTTTTTCAAGTCATTTTATTTAGCAAGAATGATATTTAATCTATAGAATAAATTACATAAATTTGCATAGTATCTAAAATGTCATAAATTATATGATGAATAAGAAGTTATTGAAATTTAACAAAATAATACTTTATTATTAAAATATGTAATTATAATGAATTTTTAAATCAGAAATTTGTAAGTTAAAAAAAATGCCAAATGTTTTTATATAATCAAACAAGTTTATTAAATAGAATAATTCAAATTATATTAGAAATAATATATCCATTTGCTAGAATTTGTAAACAATTAAAAACTTTATATTATTAGCCTAAGTTTTAAAAATTTACATTAATATTGAGTTAATAGATCAATATTTTACAATATCTTAATGGATATATACAATGGTCAAGTTTGGCAAATATTATATATACAAATAAAGATAGTTCATCAAATTTTTTTTTGAAAAGAAACTGCTAATTCACATTTTAGTTTAATATTAAATCTTAATTGAATTTAACCTTATGATAAAACATAACATAATACTTGTATTTTATATAGTCAAACCTCTATATACTGATATTATATATACCGGTAGGTCATATAAATATCGGTATAATTTAATATAACAATATTTTTAAAAAAAATTTCTACATATTGTTATAAAGAGGTTTGACTGTATACTGAAATATGTTATGTAATTTATTAAAAAATATTCAATTTTGATGAGAAAACTTACTTATTATTGGCTAGTTACCTGGGTCAAATAAAATAAGTTTATATAGAATCAACTATTATTTAGAACTACTTATTAATGAGTTAAAATCACTCTAGATCAGAATCATATTAAATAATACATATAAATACGATGATGAAAATGAATATTTGTATAGCATTAATTCTGATTTTATGTAATATATTTGTGTAAGTAAGATTTGCCCTTGTCTCATATCATAGTTGTAAAAAAGAATAAATTATAAAAATAGATAACATGATTTTTCCAGTATGAATGATATGCTTAATTGTTTATTTTTTAGGATTTGGCAATACATTTGAATGGAGGTATTTCAATTCAAATGCTACAAAGAAACTGTTTGTAAAGCAAACTATTACCAAATGGTTAAAGTCATCTACCATACTACTGTGACTTAATGCATTGTTTATTCTTAACTAATATGAAGTGAATTGTTTTATTAAATGAAAATGGATTGATCACAAAGAAACAAAAGAAATTTAGAAATGATTTTTTGATTTTATATGATTGCTAAAAACAGAATCTGTGTTTAATGGTTTTTTTTTACAAATAGAGCAATAATTACATATTGTTGATATTTTAACTTTTTAAAAGAAATTACAGCTTTTTTTTTGATGGATGAGCTATTATACGTACAAATAAAACAATAATGAAATAATATAACATTGTCAGCGATTATACAAATAATTTATGGCTTAGGAATTATTATCAATTGGTCATGTTACAAAACAAAATTATATAATAAGACATTAATCCAATCAAAATATTGCACGTGATTATATAGTGAAACACAATCTGATAATGATTAATGATTTATTTTTTTTAGACAACCGATTTCAAAGTAAATCATGCTCACTGCTAGCTCAAAATAATATTAATGAAGTCAATCAATACTATCAAATTATCACAGAAACTTCAACATAGGGTGCAATCTGAGAAGAGATTAAAAAATTTACTCATACTCCACAAGAAAGAATGTCAATTCCAGAAAACAAAAAAAAATTACTTTCAATTTCTTAAAAATCAAAAATTAACTGGTGAATCAAGAATTACTTTTACAAGATAAAGAATTATAATATTGAATTACTTATAAACTAATTATATTTCATAGAACCTGTTCCAATTTTAATCAAATTACTAGAAATACGTCAAGGTTTAGAACAAAAAACTGATTTCTGGAATTAGGTATTCATATGAAGAGGCATTTTGTGAAACAGCCCGACAAGTATTTAACTCAAAGACAACCAGAACATATGCGACTGATGATACAATCTGGCCAATGGGATGCATTTTTTCGATCAGCTATTAGTTCAACCGTGTGTAATTAAATGTTTTGATTTAATTACTATATAATAATTTACTAATATAAGATTCCTTTAGTTAAAAGAAAAAATGTCAAAATTAAGGCCACTCTATTCGAATGTTTTCCAAACAAGATATTAAATTCAATTCGAAGACAGATCCCAATTGAATTTAAAAAATCAGATGGCTTGAATTCTAGAATATCCTTTGCAAATCCTGATCGTATTACATCATCTTTTATAAAAAACCGCTCAATGATAAGATATTTTCAATCGCTATGTGCCGTTTTATGCTTGATGAAACGATTATTGATGCAACATTAGATCCCGAAAGAATGATGAAGAGTATGTATGGAGATAATAAATTTTTATTCAATATCAATTTTTGGTTATTAAATTTGTACAAATCTAAAAAATATGCTTATCTAGACGAATATAAATAAGCATATGAATCAACAAATTTCGTGTTATTTAATGTCTTTAGCTAGATTTCATAATTTTTATGTAAAAGAAAATATAAATTATAAGTAAATATTGCTGTAATTTATTAATAAAATCACCACATAATACATATTAGAGCTACATAGCATTTGGTATTATTTCTTCGCAGTATTTATTGTGATTTCTTTGCGATATTCTTTATAATTCCCTAAAAAGAAAATTCTGCTTAACTACATATAACATTTGGAAAACTTCAGATCCATTAGGATTTCCATGATGGTTCGCGATATGGATTGCTCAGTAGATCTTACATCGAAAGAAATTTCTAATGTAGCGCTTTTAGACCGTTTCAACTTTTTGTATTAAAAGCAAAAATCAAATTTTACGACCAATTTTATAAATCTCAAATATATGCAAAGTAAATGCGATTGATCATATGGGAACGTTTCCAGTAAAATCAAGTCATGAGGCATAGTAAATCATATGATCCGTAATGTGATTTTACTGGAAAGAAACACTCCCATATATCATTGACCCACCAGGGGTCATTTTATTAAAAATCAATCAAATAAAATAGTAACATGCAAATAAAGCCAATAAATAAAAATAAAAAATAAAAATAAAAAAAATAGTAAAACAGTCCTTCTAATAAGAAATTTTCGCCACCGACCATCGGCAGTTACTCTCAACCACGAAAACCACGAGTCGTCAAAATCATCTCGAAGGGTGACGTCCTTGCCGTCTCCCTAGTCCCGGCCGTAAAGCGATTCATGTCGGGCGCCACGATCACCCCGATCGTGCCTGGTGGTTGACGAACGAGCACCCCATCCATTTCCCTCACTATCGCGGGAACTATAATCATACAAAATTGATTAATTCATACTCAAACTAAATAAACATACATAAGTCAATTAATACATACATATTTTACCCTCCAATTTTTGCTTTGTATAACAAAGCTCGTTCCATCAACGACTACTTGAATGTCTATTCACCTGTCGTTGGAACCTCTGTATGTAAAATAAAGAATAAAAATAAAATTTATTAAGCATATGTGTCATAATAATCAAAAATCAAGTGGCGCATTCACAGTCGCGTATGTTTGTACTTTTGATTCGTGATTCGTGTTTTCTCAGGTGAGTAAGCCAGTGGGATATAAGAACACTTACAGCCGAAACCGTGACCCCATTTTACACCAATTTAAATAATTTTGCAGAGATACTCACCCTGTCCACTCTGGTTCATATCCAGCATCACGTAATACTTCAACAATATTCGCTCTAACGCTCTGCCTATTTCGTATGAAGTCATAATTTAGGTGAGGTTTTGTAAATTTTGTTGAAGAAGGGAAGTTTGAAGAAACTAGATTTCAGACTTCCCTATGCATGATTGAGAAAAATATTCACAGAAATATATGTGTTATTAGTATAAAACGCACTAGTGTACTTAAATTTTCTATATATTTTAAAACTAAAACTTTGTTGTGTAATGTAATACAAATTTGAAACATGCCTCAGTTTTGAACTTCGAAAGTCTAATCAAGATCATAGGAAACGCTATATCTGTCTGTCACTAAGTTCGAACAGCCAATCAGGATTTAAGATCAGGTGTAACATATAAAATGTCCAATCACATTATAGGATCAAGTGTAACAATTAAAATGACAGAATTAAATATTATCCTCAATAAAATTCAATATTTTTTTTTAATTTTAATAAAAATATTGTATTACATTATTTTTGTTAAATTTTTATTTGATACATTATTTTTGTTATATTTTTTTTTGTTACATTGTATTTAATAAAAAGTTATAAATGCTTAAGATGATTTAATGGTTCCCGTTACTTAGTTTTT